CTTTTTCCCCCAACAACTGCTGTAATTTCTCTTGTTTATTTTGTTGTTCGAGCTGCCACTGTTGCAGGTTTTCTTGCAACTGCTGTCGTCTCTCTTCTTGTTTCTTTTCTTTTTCCTTCAAAACTGCTGTAATTTCTCTTCTTGTTTATTTTCTTTCTCCTCCAACCACTGCTGTAGTCTCTCTTGTTTACTTTGCTGTTCGAGCTGCCATTGTTGTAGGTTTTCTTATAACTGCTGTTGTCTTTCTTCTTGTTTCTTTTCTTTTTCTTCCAACAACTGTTGTAATCTCTCTTCTTGTTTAATTTCTCGTTCTTCATGTTTATTTTCTCGTTCTTCTTGTTTCTATTCTCGTTCTTCTTGTTTCTTTTGTTGTTCTTGTATTGCTGCCATCAAGTCTGCTATGCTGTAGTTTAATTTGCCACTTCTTGTTTCCATTTTTTTTATCCCACTCTCTGACACCAATTTGTTACGTCTTCGTTTGTTAATTAACTTTCCGTAACTTCGTTACCGATGAAACTTTAGCGACACAAGTCCTTACTTAATAAAACTGGTTTATTCTTTCCGAATATAACTTCACGATACACTTATTTTCAACAGTTGCTCTTTTACAAACGTTTTAACAATGAACGTTAACTTCAACAACACGTCTCTCTCTGACTGCAGTTCAATTACTCATTACCTACACACAAACTATTGCGTCACGTTGTTACCCTCATTTATATACCAGACTACCCTATATCTAGTAAATGCTAGAGCATTCGCCAAGGTACGGGATAGTTCTAGAAACGTGGCGTCACACTAGTCATGTGACTCGCTGATGCAACAATAGTTTAAAGACAACAAGGACCTCTTGGTTCATCTAGGCTATACTATCCACTAAACAAAACTTTAAAATGAAAACAAAACACTCAAAAAGAACCTTTATCATTCATTATGTATCTAGCCTTCCTTTAAACTCTCTTAAATTAACTGTATTCATCACATCTCAAGTTAACCCATTCCCAAGACTAACAACCCTGTTAGAAAAAATATAGCTGTCTTAGTTGGAGATGACTTCTACATTGCCAGAATGTATATCCCACCTTGCCAAAATTTATATTTCTGTTCCCTAATTCTATTATTCTCACCATTAAGTATGAAAAAAAAAGATTATGCATCAACAGTGTCAACTACCATAACAATCTTAAACACACAGTTATATCCCCCCTATTTCTTCTTTTCTCAAGAGAAAATAATTTTGGAGGTCTTAGACCTATCCTTGTATGACAATTTTTCCATCCTATGTATCACCCTAGTAGCCTCGCTCTGAACCCCCTTCCAACAATTCAATGTCTACCTAATGTAAGGAGCCCAAGAATGAACACTGTTCTCCAAATATGACTTAACCTATGACTTTTTTTCAATATTTCTGTAGGTACAATCTAAAATACTTTGTTTTGCCAATAAAAGCAGCACATAGCTTGGATGACTTCAAAGACTGATCAACTATAACACTGCTTAAAAGAAGAGATAAATTTAAAATATAATTTTACAAAGAAAATACTTCATTAAAAAAGCAAAAACAGAGTTATAATATTTTGCAGTTGTTTTATATTTAAGATTTTATTTAAGTTAGCAGTTGTGTAATTTTTTATATAGACACACTCAAGTAATTTTTCATTTCACTTGTAGAAGGACGTTTCTGGCTTATTAATTATTTAGAACGAATGTCCTTGATTATTATGGAAGTTAGGTGCAACTAAAAGTTTCTTCTTTTCAGCTTTGTAAATCTGATTGAAATGATTCGCTACATTCAGCCTATATGTTACTTTCTGTATTTGGTCCAGTCAAGGAACTCATCTACTGTTTTAGTTGATAGTTGTACTGTTTCCTACTTTATCTTTTGTATAGAAGACTGTTTTGCAGCTAATTATATACCAAAAGAATGTACTTTGTGAATCCCATTTTGGCATTTTAAAATTAGATCTCTTTCTGACCTCTGAAAAGGGAAAATTCATTTTGAATTTAAAAGTTAGAGAGCTAGGTTAACCTTAAGATTACCATAGTAACATAATATTTATTTTTCACAATTGTAGAGTTTTTACTGCTTCTTTACCAAAGTTTTTTTTTGTAATACATCATTGTGTTGCATAAACAGTCAGCATATTTCCACAGTTTAAAAGCTATGCAAACTGTCTACAGGTTTTAACCTCTGTTTAAGTTTTAAGTACAAAGAATTGAAATTTATGTATGCAGATTGTGTTTCTGATATCTTTATCAGTGCTCGTTGATCTGATATATTAAAGAGCCAGCATTTCTCTTTCCAATTTATTCTTAAAAATATAATATTTGTCATAAAAACTTGCTTATGTTTTCCTATAATTAATTTCTGTTGATTAAAAAAAAAAGAGTTTAAAAGGATTGATTTTTCTCTTGGCTCCATTGGGTTAATGTTTGGTGAAATAAAAAAAAATCATTAGGTCTTTTAAAACTTAGAAATTAATATACATTAATGAAAGTTTTAGTTTGTGTTTACTAATAGTAACCTTATTGTATTGTAGGAGAATACAGAGGACAGTCGGTAACAATGTTAACTTGGTACTGATGAAGGATACTATTACAAAAATCTGTTTAGACCAAAAACAGTGGATATAAACATAAAATAATGCATCTTTTTTTTCACTATAAATCAATTAACAAAGCATCAGTGAGTACAACTTATTAGTTTTGGTGTTTCAGATTTTCAAAAAAGTTATATAAAGAGCAAATATTATTATTAATAAACCAAAATGTGGTTAGAAGGGGAAAAAATTAGCATTATGTGCATTGTATTTGTCGTGTTTTAGAAGCAGGGTTCTCAATGGTAAGTCATTCAAATGGAAAAGATTGGGATGATTTCATGTGTTATTTAATTACATTTCAGACTTTATACAAGCATGTTTTTAATTCTGTAGGTTCTAAGGGAGAGCCAGGTATCCCAGGCATACTTGGATTTCCAGGTCTCCCAGGCATACCAGGTGTTAAGGGAGAACGAGGTGAAGTAGGAGAAATGGGTTTGTTGGGCCCAAAGGGTTATCAGGGATTTAGTATAAATGGCCAGAAAGGTGAACAAGGTGAAGTTGGATACCCAGGGGATCCAGGTGAGTACAGTATGATTAATTTGAATGTTTTAGCTTTTAATGTTTGAACTGAAGGTTGTTATTATATATATATATAAATAAATGCAATTTCCTGTCATATTTTCCACCTAACGCTTTCTTTACCATTTTCTTGTATTAAATAATGATGTACAGGTTAAGTAATCTGTAAAATTATGGAAGTGCAAGGGGAAAAGTGATCAGTATGTTTATGTTGATGTTAAAATATGTTGTTGAACATAAAAAAAACATTGGAATATTTTATATAAGTGGATACTAAGTATAGCATCTTAATGAAGACTGCTTTTGTAGGTCGTTTTGTGATTGGTTCAAAGGGTGAGCCTGGTATTCCTGGAGAACCTGGTTTGATTGGGCTTCCAGGAGATGATGGGTTTTCAGGATTCAGTACTCCTGGGGAAAGAGGTATCCCTGGACTTCCAGTAAGTAGGACTTTTAATTTAATGACTTCTGAGGCTTTAAGTTCTAAAAATTATTTGTTTGCTCTTCATTGACTTTGTTTGGTCAGACCATGTGCATCTTTAAGAAGAAATGTGAATTTGAACTAGGTGACTTGAACTTTAGTGATGTATAAAGCATTGGTGCTGAGTCTTTGTTTCTTTATAAATGAGATTTCTGTATTAGTATTTGTATTCTTCTATGCAGGTTTAAAACATTTGATTGAAATATAATCAATAGGGATTTGATGGAATGCCAGGTCTGAAAGGCATGAAAGGGGATTATGGAATTGATGGAACTCCTGGTGTTCCTGGACAACAAGGATTAAGAGGAGATGATGGTTTTCCAGGTGATCCTGGCAGAGGAGGTGATTTTGGATTAGATGGTGAGTTCTTATTTTTTTTTTCCTTATCAATTAAAATATCAGTAAATTGGCACTTTAATGAATTTTCAGAGGATTGTTTCTTTTAAAGTGTCACTCCAGTGACTAAAGATTTTCATGTATGTACTAAGCACATCTACTTTCATCTCTGTATTAAACTTTTATTATGCCTTATTTTTATCCCACACCACTAATAAACACTATCTTTAGGTGATGTATAATGCTGATTACTCAAGAATCTTGAGTTCTTTTATCATATCCAGGGCCATAACTTTTGGGGAGGCAAGGGGCAACTGCCCCCCCCCAAAAAAATTGTGGTGCAAAATTAAAATGTAGGCCTGAAAATTCTAAATAATAATGTAACTCATGAAATATAACTATTTTACAATTCCAAGAATTATGTGTATATATATATATATATATCAGCATGTGTGTGTTTGTGTATTATGATACTGATAATTTTAAAGATATTTATAACTTTGTCCTTTACCATGAGGCTACAGCTCTGGTATCAAGTGTGATGAGGCTTGAAATAACACTGTAAATGAAAACATTTTTACACCTCCTTTTTGAAATATTGTTAATAACCCTTTTTACTGGAACAAGAGTGTTTACTATTCACACATTCTTTCATCTGATCCTAAAAATGATTTTACTTATGCAGAATGCACAAGTGCAGCTAGGTTTTATCCAAACATTGTTAAGATTAAAATAGTGTCGGAAAATTAATTTTATGTAGTTAGAAACAGTTCAACTTGCAAAAAAAATATACGAAAGATGCGTGTCCCAGTTTTTTGAAAACATGACAAATTGCATAACAGATATTATTCTACATCTTCAATAAATAACTGTGTATCAGTAATATTTATAGGACAGAGTACTTTCATATTTCAACTAAATATTGGTATGCAAGAATTAATAACTTACTAAATAACTTTTACAGCAGTTTCAGGAAGTTTCTTAAATATTTCTTTCTTAGAAAAGTTTTTTTTTCTCATTTTCAACAAGTATTAGCAAATGATAAATAAATGTGCTATATTTGCTATTGTATTATGTAGTTTCAAGCATTCAGTTAGATATGTACTACAGTGAAATTTGGCATTGCACTGTTAGTTAAATATTGTTTTTACATAGTTTATATTAAATAATATTGTTACGTCTCCGTTTGTTAATTAATTTTCCGTAACTTCGTTCCGACGAAATTTTAGCGACACAAGTCCTTACTTAATAAAACTGGTTTATTCTTTCTGAATACAACTTTACGATACACTTATTTTCAATATTCGCGCTAAAACAAACACTATAACGAACGTCAACAATACTTCTGACTGCAGTTCAATTACTCACTATCTACACAC